GCCGCCGTCAAAATATCGCATAGAGTTTTGACGATAACTACGCGACACGTAAAACTACTAACGACCCGAATTCGACACCGCCCCCTTCGGTCTCTGCATACCGCAGACTCATAGAGCCTACGCGATAATTTTTCAATACACGTGCCGATTGCGAATCGAAAAGATTTTTTAGTTTAACTCGAAATTAACGAGTCCTAATCGACCTCGAAAGGGGTGTATCGTCGAATAGTCGGACCGGTCGGAACGACCTCCTGCGGCACGTCGGCCGTCGATTTTAAGTGAAAACTCGACCGACCGACGGCTTCGCTATAACGTTGGCTTTAAGGAGAACGAGATTTGTCGCCGTCACGTGATTTTCGAGCGGAAAAAACGAGATAAAACGGCACGGGATCACGTCAAGACGGAAAATTCGATTCCGTAAACGTTTACTAGTCGGTACGGCAACGAGTATATAAGGACGGCGCGACGGCCGAACGCGACTTATACGCACCGTGCCCGTTCGTTTTACCCGAGTGCCGCAGTCTATTTCGAACCGCTTCGCCATGACCGACACCGCAGTCGCCGCGCCAGCACCGGCCGCCTCGTCGCCGGCCCAGGCCAAATCGCCGAAAAAGAAGTCCGCCTCTCCCAAGGCGAAGAAAGCCGCGCCGGCCCATCCTACCACGGCCGTGATGGTGATCGCGGCCGTCGAGGAACTGAAGGAGAAAAAAGGATCGTCGTTGCCGGCTATCAAGAAATACTTGGCCGCCAACTACAAAGTGGACGCCGCCAAGCTGGCGCCTTTCATCCGCAAATTCCTTAAGTCGGCCGTCGCCAGCGGCAAGCTGGTCCAGACCAAGGGCAACGGAGCGTCGGGCTATTTCAAATTGGCCGCCGAAGCCAAAAAGGAGAAGAAGGTAGCGCCGAAAAAGAAGCCGGTCGCCGAGAAAGCGGCGGTGTCCAAGGCGCCCGGAGCGGCCAAGAAGAGGAAGAGCACCGGTGCCAAGAAACCGAAATCCGGCGAGCCCGCCGCCAAGAAGGTGAAAAAGGTAGCCGCAGCGCCCAAACCCAAAGCCGCGAAACCGAAAAAGTCTCCGGCCAAGGCTAAGAAAGCGCCGGCCACCAAAACCAAGGCACCCAAGGCGAAGAAGGTGGCAGTCAAGAAGACGGCAGCGCCCAAAAAGAAGGCGTAATTTGTTAAAAACACTCTCTAAACCCTTAAAACGGTCCTTTTCAGGACCACCAAATATTTATATAATACAATATACACAACAAGCGTGTCGCGCGGTGTCTCGTACCGATATTTTATAGATTATAGTAATACAAACTACAGTAAGTAATAGTGATTGTGAAATGGAATGAAAAAGTTAAAACGACTACAACATGGGTAAATACGTTTATTGTTGTATGTATATTTAGGAAAATGATTGGCTATTGCAGATAATAACATTTAATTGATTTGACAATACTTAGGACTGTCTGGCCAGCCCTAAACCCTAGTTGACTTATAATTACAAGTATGGCTGTATGCCCACAACAAAACTTTAAATATATCAAAATAACAATAATTATGAAATATTACAAATTCACCTGACTGATTAAAAACGGAAAATAACAACAGACGCGGCCGCTGCGCTGTGCGTTAAACGGCACACGCGAGGTATAGATAACAGGACAAAAACAAAAAAAAAAAAACAAACGAGCGGAATGAACGACCCACGTCGTTGTATTCACTTGTATTTCATTGTAAATTTGTATTCAAATTCAAATACTTGTGTACTATAGTCGTATATGATAAACTGTACACGAAAAACCGTCTCGATATCGATCAATTCTAAAAGCAATATCTGTTGACGTACACACCATCCATGCATACATACATACATGCAAACATACTCACATACAAACGTACTTCATAATCGCTTTTTTTATATTGTACCTATCTGTAAATTGTTCAATAAAACCCCAAATATGCACTCGAAATTTATTTTCTACTTATTTTTAAATATAACTTGTATTTTTTAAATATTATGTTCATACTAGTTGTAACCGCAAAACTTAAATAAAAATAGTTTTTATAAAAAATAAATTTAACACTTTTGAATAAACAAAATTTTAAAATATGACGCAATTATCGAAAATAATAAAACGTTTGAGTACCCACCTGCCTAAGAATAAAAAAATCCCAAAATATACAAAAAAAAAAAAAAATGTTCGATTCTTTAAAATGTAATTAAAAATTGTAACTTGTCAGTGTCGTATACGCACTTTGGTACACGAACCGTTAAACACACACACACACTTAAAATCGACGGGAGAAAAGGTAACACTTTTAAATTAAGTAGAAGAAAAGTAATTCAAAAGTTAATAAACACACACACAATTATAATATTCGTAAAAACAATAATGCGCGCGACAATACCCTCCTCGTAATAAAACGGTCGATTACGGGAGAGTGCCCCCGACAAAGTAATTTGGACGGCCTTAAATGATAAACATTATTGACATTTTTACTGTGTAGACAATTTTGTATAGTTTTGTTTTGATTGTTTGGCCTACGTTTAATTGCTTATTTGCTAAAATACGTTGGTCTTTAAGAACTATACTGCAGTCAGATCTATTTTTCAGACCATTCGGTACAAGTCCCGGGCCCTAAAAATATAATATATTCAAGTGCAATAATATTATACTCTGCCAGTAAACTGTGTCGTTATGCAATTAACTCGAGTGAGCAGATCACTGTTGTATTTTATTTTAGTTAATAAAGCTGTTATATACATATATAGCTGCTAATTTAAGTGTTATCTATAGCTAATATTGTTTTCCCGTTTTTTTCTAATTTGTGTAGTGAATTTATATTTTTAGTAATGTAATGTGAAAAAAATTCGCTGAATGTACAAATAAAATACACGTCGTAGTACTAACCGACGACAAACGTAATATAATGATACAACAGACGATAACACACACGGCGGCCGTCCGGTCGGTGATATTGTCAATAAAAATTAAAAACCCCAGATATTAATAACTTAAATGGGATACACTACGAATAATAATAATATTATTATATAATAACGTGTATCAGAATAATAATTTGATGGCCCTGAAAAGGGCCGTTTTAAGTGGATATAGCGCGCGACTAATATCGAAACGCTTATTTGGAACTGGTGTACTTGGTCACGGCCTTGGTGCCTTCACTGACGGCGTGCTTGGCCAATTCACCGGGCAACAGCAGACGGACGGCGGTCTGGATCTCCCGGCTGGTGATGGTCGAACGCTTGTTGTAGTGGGCCAGACGGCTGGATTCGGCGGCGATGCGTTCGAATATGTCGTTGACGAAGCTGTTCATGATGCTCATAGCCTTGGAGGAAACGCCGGTGTCGGGGTGCACTTGTTTCAACACCTTGTAGATGTAAATACCGTACGATTCTTTCCTCTTCGGCTTGCGCTTCTTGTCGGACTTGGTGATGTTTTTCTGCGCCTTGCCGGACTTCTTCATGGCCTTGCCTGCGGATTTACCTCCTGGTGCCATAGTGACTGCGGTTGTACACGGTTTGCGGGTCGTCGAAATAGTTGGCCGGTAGCTGGTGGACGAATGATGGTTCGAAAATCGTTTACGCTCATATTTATTACGCGTCGCGACTTCGTTTATCGAGTACGATTTGTAAGAGTCGACGAAAAAACGACGAGTAAGACTAACACTTTGTGTTTAAAAGCGAACCCTACAATGTGCCGTTTTTTCATCGTCAACGTCTAAGCATCAAAGAAAAACACGACGAGTATAAACAACACATAGCTTGGGACGTTGAACCCTACGAAGTGTGGTTTTTCATCGTCGTTATTTTCAAACGTAGGCCAACATACAGACGCGTTTACGTCGTAAAAGTGTATAAATACCGATTTTGGCCTGTTCCGATCATCAGTATCGTCTGGATTTTCTCTCGTCTCACTACACGACAATCTACAATCGAGCATCATGAGCGGACGCGGCAAAGGAGGAAAAGCAAAGAGCGGCAAATCGAAGACCCGGTCGTCCCGTGCCGGACTCCAGTTCCCGGTCGGTCGTATCCATCGTCTGTTGAGGAAGGGCAACTACGCCGAGCGCGTCGGTGCCGGCGCTCCCGTGTACCTGGCCGCCGTCATGGAGTACTTGGCCGCTGAAGTGTTGGAATTGGCCGGTAACGCCGCCCGTGACAACAAGAAGACCCGTATCATCCCCAGACATTTGCAGTTGGCCATCAGGAACGACGAGGAGTTGAACAAACTGTTGTCTGGCGTCACCATTGCCCAAGGTGGTGTGCTGCCCAACATCCAGGCCGTCCTTTTGCCCAAGAAGACCGAAAAGAAAGCTTAAGAACGTCGTCGCCGTATTTATACATATTAAAACGGCCCTTTTCAGGGCCACCAAATATTAACTATTTTTACAACACTCTTGTTGTTTTCGACATAAATGATGTGTGGCGTTGTATTATTTTGTCAAGCCTTAGAAAATATTTGTAGCTTAGAATTTCAGCAAATCTACTTTAATTTTTTCTTTAGGTCAATAACAATTTATAAAATATGACTATAACTCGAACTGGAAATAACATTTAAGTGTAATATAGATAAATAATTTTTTTTTTTTCCAACATTCCAGTTTGCTATTTAGCTACATCAGCCGGCACTACAATGATAACGTCATTGGTTAATATCGAAATATTGTCATCGATATTAATAGATATTATAGATTTAGATCAATATTATATTATTGTGATAATAAATTAGTACTATATCATATATGTCTATTTCGCCAATGGGCTATAATTATAAAAATCGTATATTACCCACGTGCGATTCTACTACTTGTATAATATACAAATATACAATTAGTATGTTATATTTTTTATATTAAATTATACGTTTAGTTTGTTTTATTGTTTTATGTCAACTAACATGTATGTTACAGAGAACATAATAGTCTGTATGTACTATAAAACACATTAGTTTGAACAATTACAAATGTATACCGTTAAAAAACTACTCGTGTAGTTATTTATATTATTATAATGGCAATACGCTACAACGTTTTGTCAGTTTTTACGGTATAAATACTTGATAAAATTAACTATTATTATGCACCTCCAGTCTCATAACTTAGAATACTCATTAAATATACTCGCTGCATTAAATGACATAATAAACGTTAACCGACAATTTTAAATAATATAAAATGGTGGCCCTGAAAAGGGCCGTTTTAAAGAACAGTAGGTAGGGTGCAAAGCGAACGGTCGTCGGGAATTAACCTCCGAATCCGTACAGAGTGCGGCCTTGGCGTTTCAGAGCGTAGACCACGTCCATGGCGGTGACGGTCTTCCTCTTGGCGTGCTCGGTGTAGGTGACGGCGTCGCGGATTACGTTTTCCAGGAACACCTTCAACACTCCGCGGGTCTCTTCGTAGATCAGGCCGGAGATACGTTTGACACCACCGCGGCGGGCTAACCGACGAATGGCCGGCTTGGTGATTCCTTGGATGTTGTCCCGGAGCACTTTACGATGACGTTTGGCGCCTCCTTTTCCCAAACCTTTTCCTCCTTTGCCGCGTCCGGTCATTGTTGCTGATTGTCGTTCGGAGAGCTGCGGTAGACTGAAGAAACAAATCGAATGATGCCCGGACAACGTTTTCGCGCCGTATTTATATGATCGGGCCGTCGCGCGGACCAATCACGGCGCGGTATCGCGAGATCTCCCTCTATTCCGGCAGGTCGTTCCGTCGACCAATGAGAACTCGCGCCTACGATCCGAATTTGTATATATACGAGCTCATTCGGTGTGCGGAGACATATTCGACCGTTTCGAGTTTTTACACACAGTCTACGAACTACCGACATGGCCCGTACCAAGCAAACCGCCCGCAAATCTACCGGAGGCAAGGCTCCCAGGAAGCAGTTGGCCACCAAAGCCGCCCGCAAGAGCGCACCGGCGACCGGAGGAGTGAAGAAACCCCATCGTTACCGTCCCGGTACCGTGGCTCTCCGTGAAATCCGTCGTTACCAGAAGAGCACCGAGCTGTTGATCCGCAAATTGCCGTTCCAACGTTTGGTCCGCGAGATCGCCCAAGACTTCAAGACCGACTTGCGTTTCCAGAGCTCGGCCGTCATGGCTCTGCAAGAAGCCAGCGAAGCATACTTGGTCGGTCTGTTCGAAGACACCAACTTGTGCGCTATCCACGCCAAGCGTGTTACCATCATGCCCAAGGACATCCAGTTGGCTCGCCGTATTCGCGGAGAACGTGCTTAATCGTCTCAATACTCTACAAATCCTCTTTAAAACGGCCCTTTTCAGGGCCACTACATGCGTTAAAATTATTTCTCTATCGACCTTACAGCGGGCGCCGCGCTGTTGATAAAATTAATACAACAGTTTTGTACTCAATAGTTTTATTATTATCGACGGTCGTGGGTATCCCCCCGAGAATGTTGTTACTTACATTTTTAGATTAATGTTGAAAATTCCCAACGACCGTTTTTATTGAAGTATTATTTATATTTTAAAAAAAAAAGCGGGTAAAAGAATAGGCGGTAGACACGGCGGTGGCGGTAGACGATGAACGGGTCGGTATAGCGTTAGGCATAGTGTGAAATGTATTTTTGGCGCGCGCGGGAAGTAGTCGGCGGCGGCGGCCGCGTTATAGTCGATATGAGTTTGTTAGGTCGTAGAACGCGGCGTGTAAAGGAATTATTATTTTCTATCCGGTTTGTCCGACGGGAGGGATGGACGCGTTATTAAAAAAAAAAAAAAAAAAACCCCGTAGATTGTGGCGCGTCGTTTAAAACTATGTTATCTGAAAGTAGGTAGATATGGGCTCCACACGTTTCCGCGGCACTGAATTTAAAATACACGGACAGTGACGATACCAATAGGTTCTATACGTTTGTGAAAACCGAAAACTAAATAATATAATAAATTACTTTATATAATTAATATGTAATAATTAAATATAATAAATAATAATATATCACTTGCTAATGTGAAATGGCCAATGTTCGGCTGGTGTTGGTATTTTTCGTATCGAATAGCCTATGTACAATTAATTATAAAAGTCAACTTTTTTTGAAATTTTGGGAAAATATGAAAAAACCAGTTTAATAAAATGTCCAAAACAAACGGTCTTTACCTACAAATTGCAATTTTTTTTTGTTAAATCAGTTTTCCAACCACGTTTAAAATGAAAAATTAATAAGGCACTCGAACGTGAGTAAACGAAAAGTTTTGGATTCGAGTAGATTATTTCTGGAGTAAAAAAAAAACACGATTTTGTTCATAAAATAAATTTTGTACTTCTAATTTTACAATAATAAACTAGCATTTTCGTTTAATAAAATGAGAAATAATCGTTTCCGACTTTAATATTAAAATACAATATGTAATACCTATGTGAAACCCGTTATGTTGATAATACGTTTTTATTTGACAAACGGTCCAATATTACATGCCTCGTGGCAATTACTGCAGACGATAACTTTTGGAAATGGGCCTACACATAAAGTATATGTTTATCAGGTAAAAAATGGGTTATGGAAATTTATTTCAAGACAAAATAAACCAAAACGTTATCATAAAACTTAAAAATAAAAACACCGATATTAATTTTTTGAAACGTAATCGGTTTTGTAAACGGGCTACTCGTTGTGCATACATTGTGCTGCCTCGTCACTTTAGACGAAACCGTCATAATATGGACCCCCGACGATCACGGGCGAGTCTAGATATTTAACAATACTACTATTGAGCAAACGTAGTAAATCAGTCTTGGACTTTCAAAAATATATAAAATAAATTTAAACAAATGTAAAGACGTCATAATCGCGACGGTTTACTCGTTCGAATCGGTTAACGATTTAATTAAAATAGAGTCGAGCGTTTGGCAGTCTTATTTTTAATAGAAATCGGGGCAGCTTTAATAGCCGAATAGGTAATATATTTTTACAATGACAATTTAAATTGTTTTTACTATTTTCGGTGTAATCTTAAGTCGATTCGGTCGGTGTTGCCGCCGTCAAAATATCGCATAGAGTTTTGATGATAACTACGCGACACGTAAAACTACTAACGACCCGAATTCGACACCGCCCCCTTCGGTCTCTTCATACCGCAGACTCTTAGAGCCCACGCGATAATTTTTCAATACACGTGCAGATTGCGAATCGAAAAGATTTTTTAGTTTAACTCGAAATTAACGAGTCCTAATCGACCTCGAAAGAGGTGTATCGTTGAATAGTCGGACTGGTCGGAACAACCTCCTGCGGCACGTCGGCCGTCGATTTTAAGTGAAAACTCGACCGACCGACGGATTTGCTATAACGTTGGCTTTAAGGAGAACGAGATTTATCGCCGTTGAGTGATTTTCGAGCGGGAAAAAACGAGACAAAACGGAACGGGATCACGTCAAAACGGAAAATTCGATTCCGTAAACGTTTACTAGTCGGTATGGCGGCGAGTATATAGACGGCGTGATGGCCAAACGCGAGTTATACACACCGTTCCTGTTCATTTTACCAGAGTACCAGAGACTATTTCAAACCGCTTCACCATGACCGACACCGCAGTCGCCGCACCAGCACCAGCCGCCTCGTCGCCGGCCCAGGCCAAGTCGCCGAAAAAGAAGTCCGCCGCTCCCAAGGCGAAGAAAGCCGCACCGGCTCATCCTACCACGGCCGTGATGGTGATCGCAGCCGTCAAGGAACTGAAGGAGAAAAAAGGATCGTCGTTGCCGGCTATCAAGAAATATTTGGCCGCCAACTACAAAGTGGACGCTGCCAAGCTAGCGCCTTTCATCCGCAAATTCCTAAAGTCGGCCGTCGCCAGCGGCAAGCTGGTCCAGACCAAGGGCAACGGAGCGTCGGGCCATTTCAAATTGGCCGCCGAAGTCAAAAAAGAGAAGAAGGTAGCGCCGAAAAAGAAGCCGATCGCCAAGAAAGCGGCGGTGTCCAAGGCGCCCGGAGCGGCCAAGAAGAGGAAGAGCACCGGTGCCAAGAAACCGAAATCCGGCGAGCCCGCCGCCAAGAAGGTGAAAAAGGTAGCCGCAGCGCCTAAACCCAAAGCCGCGAAACCGAAAAAGTCTCCGGCCAAGGCTAAGAAAGCGCCGGCCACCAAAGCCAAGGCACCCAAGGCGAAGAAGGTGGCAGTCAAGAAGACGGCTGCGCCCAAAAAGAAGGCGTAATTTGTTAAAAACACTCTCTTAAACCCTTAAAACGGTCCTTTTCAGGACCACCAAATATTTATATAATACAATATACACAACAAGCGTGTCGCGCGGTGTCTCGTACCGATATTTTATAGATTATAGTAATACAAACTACAGTAAGTAATAGTGATTGTGAAATGGAATGAAAAAGTTAAAACGACTACAACATGGGTAAATACGTTTATTGTTGTATGTATATTTAGGAAAATGATTGGCTATTGCAGATAATAACATTTAATTGATTTGACAATACTTAGGACTGTCTGGCCAGCCCTAAACCCTAGTTAACTTATAATTACAAGTATGGCTGTATGCCCACAACAAAACTTTAAATATATCAAAATAACAATAATTATGAAATATTACAAATTCACCTGACTGATTAAAAACGGAAAATATCAACAGACGCGGCCGCTGCGCTGTGCGTTAAACGGCACACGCGAGGTATAGATAACAGGACAAAAACAAAAAAAAAAAAACAAACGAGCGGAATGAACGACCCACGTCGTTGTATTCATTTGTATTTCATTGTAAATTTGTATTCAAATTCAAATACTTGTGTACTATAGTCGTATATGATAAACTGTACACGAAAAACCGTCTCGATATCGATCAATTCTAAAAGCAATATCTGTTGACGTACACACCATCCATGCATACATACATACATGCAAACATACTCACATACAAACGTACTTCATAATCGCTTTTTTTATATTGTACCTATCTGTAAATTGTTCAATAAAACCCCAAATATGCACTCGAAATTTATTTTCTACTTATTTTTAAATATAACTTGTATTTTTTAAATATTATGTTCATACTAGTTGTAACCGCAAAACTTAAATAAAAATAGTTTTTATAAAAAATAAATTTAACACTTTTGAATAAACAAAATTTTAAAATATGACGCAATTATCGAAAATAATAAAACGTTTGAGTACCCACCTGCCCAAGAATAAAAAAATCCCAAAATATACAAAAAAAAAAAAATGTTCGATTCTTTAAAATGTAATTAAAAATTGTAACTTGTCAGTGTCGTATACGCACTTTGGTACACGAACCGTTAAACACACACACACACACACTTAAAATCGACGGGAGAAAAGGTAACACTTTTAAATTAAGTAAAAGAAAAGTAACTCGAAAGTTAATAAACACACACACAATTATAATATTCGTAAAAACAATAATGCGCGCGACAATACCCTCCTGGTAATAAAACGGTCTATTACGGGAGAGTGCCCCCGACAAAGTAATTTGGGCGGCCTTAAATGATAAACATTATTGACATTTTTACTGTGTAGACAATTTTGTATAGTTTTGTTTTGATTGTTTGGCCTACGTTTAATTGCTTATTTGCTAAAATACGTTGGTCTTTAAGAACTATACTGCAGTCAGATCTATTTTTCAGACCATTCGGTACAAGTCCCGGGACCTAAAAATATAAAATATTCAAATGCAATAATATTATACTCTGCCAGTAAACTGTGTCGTTATGCAATTAACTCGAGTGAGCAGATCACTGTTGTATTTTATTTTAGTTAATAAAGCTGTTATATACATATATAGCTAATTTAAGTGTTATCTATAGCTAATATTGTTTTCCCGTTTTTTTCTAATTTGTGTAGTGAATTTATATTTTTAGTAATGTAATGTGAAAAAATTCGCTGAATGTACAAATAAAATACACGTCGTAGTACTAACCGACGACAAACGTAATATAATGATACAAAAGACGATAACACACACGGCGGTCGTCCGGTCGGTGATATTGTCAATAAAAATTAAAAACCCCAGATATTAATAACTTAAATAGGATACACTACGAATAATAATAATATTATTATATAATAACGTGTATCAGAATAATAATTTGGTGGCCCTGAAAAGGGCCGTTTTAAGTGGATATAGCGCGCGACTAATATCGAAATGCTTATTTGGAACTGGTGTACTTGGTCACGGCCTTGGTGCCTTCACTGACGGCGTGCTTGGCCAATTCACCGGGCAACAGGAGACGGACGGCGGTCTGGATCTCCCGGCTGGTGATGGTCGAACGCTTGTTGTAGTGGGCCAGACGGCTGGATTCGGCGGCGATGCGTTCGAAAATGTCGTTGACGAAGCTGTTCATGATGCTCATAGCCTTGGAGGAAACGCCGGTGTCGGGGTGCACTTGTTTCAACACCTTGTAGATGTAAATACCGTACGATTCTTTCCTCTTCGGCTTGCGCTTCTTGTCGGACTTGGTGATGTTTTTCTGCGCCTTGCCGGACTTCTTCATGGCCTTGCCTGCGGATTTACCTCCTGGTGCCATAGTGACTGCGGTTGTACACGGTTTGCGGGTCGTCGAAATAGTTGGCCGGTAGCTGGTGGACGAGTGATGGTTCGAAAATCGTTTACGCTCATATTTATTACGCGTCGCGACTTGGTTTATCGAGTACGATTTGTAAGAGTCGACGAAAAAACGACGAGTAAGATTAACACTTTGTGTTTAAAAGCGAACCCTACAATGTGCCGTTTTTTCATCGTCAACGTCTAAGCATCAAAGAAAAACACGACGAGTATAAACAACACATAGCTTGGGACGTTGAACCCTACGAAGTGTGGTTTTTCATCGTCGTTATTTTCAAACGTAGGCCAACATACAGACGCGTTTACGTCGTAAAAGTGTATAAATACCGATTTTGGCCTGTTCCGATCATCAGTATCGTCTGGATTTTCTCTCGTCTCACTACACGACAATCTACAATCGAGCATCATGAGCGGACGCGGCAAAGGAGGAAAAGCAAAGAGCGGCAAATCGAAGACCCGGTCGTCCCGTGCCGGACTCCAGTTCCCGGTCGGTCGTATCCATCGTCTGTTGAGGAAGGGCAACTACGCCGAGCGCGTCGGTGCCGGCGCTCCCGTGTACCTGGCCGCCGTCATGGAGTACTTGGCCGCTGAAGTGTTGGAATTGGCCGGTAACGCCGCCCGTGACAACAAGAAGACCCGTATCATCCCCAGACATTTGCAGTTGGCCATCAGGAACGACGAGGAGTTGAACAAACTGTTGTCCGGCGTCACCATTGCCCAAGGTGGTGTGCTGCCCAACATCCAGGCCGTCCTTTTGCCCAAGAAGACCGAAAAGAAAGCTTAAGAACGTCGTCGCCGTATTTATACATATTAAAACGGCCCTTTTCAGGGCCACCAAATATTAACTATTTTTACAACACTCTTGTTGTTTTCGACATAAATGATGTGTGGCGTTGTATTATTTTGTCAAGCCTTAGAAAATATTTGTAGCTTAGAATTTCAGCAAATCTACTTTAATTTTTTCTTTAGGTCAATAACAATTTATAAAATATGACTATAACTCGAACTGGAAATAACATTTAAGTGTAATATAGATAAATAATTTTTTTTTTTTTCCAACATTCCAGTTTGCTATTTAGCTACATCAGCCGGCACTACAATGATAACGTCATTGGTTAATATCGAAATATTGTCATCGATATTAATAGATATTACAGATTTAGATCAATATTATATTATTGTGATAATAAATTAGTACTATATCATATATGTCTATTTCGCCAATGGGCTATAATTATAAAAATCGTATATTACCCACGTGCGATTCTACTACTTGTATAATATACAAATATACAATTAGTATGTTATATTTTTTATATTAAATTATACGTTTAGTTTGTTTTATTGTTTTATGTCAACTAACATGTATGTTACAGAGAACATAATAGTCTGTATGTACTATAAAACACATTAGTTTGAACAATTACAAATGTATACCGTTAAAAAACTACTCGTGTAGTTATTTATATTATTATAATGGCAATACGCTACAACGTTTTGTCAGTTTTTACGGTATAAATACTTGATAAAATTAACTATTATTATGCACCTCCAGTCTCATAACTTAGAATACTCCTCAAATATACTCGCTGCATTAAATGACATAATAAACGTTAACCGACAATTTTAAATAATATAAAATGGTGGCCCTGAAAAGGGCCGTTTTAAAGAACAGTAGGTAGGGTGCAAAGCGAACGGTCGTCGGGAATTAACCTCCGAATCCGTACAGAGTGCGGCCTTGGCGTTTCAGAGCGTAGACCACGTCCATGGCGGTGACGGTCTTCCTCTTGGCGTGCTCGGTGTAAGTGACGGCGTCGCGGATTACGTTTTCCAGGAACACCTTCAACACTCCGCGGGTCTCTTCGTAGATCAGGCCGGAGATACGTTTGACACCACCGCGGCGGGCTAACCGACGAATGGCCGGCTTGGTGATTCCTTGGATGTTGTCCCGGAGCACTTTACGATGACGTTTGGCGCCTCCTTTTCCCAAACCTTTTCCTCCTTTGCCGCGTCCGGTCATTGTTGCTGATTGTCGTTCGGAGAGCTGCGGTAGACTGAAGAAACAAATCGAATGATGCCCGGACAACGTTTTCGCGCCGTATTTATATGATCGGGCCGTCGCGCGGACCAATCACGGCGCGGTATCGCGAGATCTCCCTCTATTCCGGCAGGCCGTTCCGTCGACCAATGAGAACTCGCGCCTACGATCCGAATTTGTATATATACGAGCTCATTCGGTGTGCGGAGACATATTCGACCGTTTCGAGTTTTCACAGACAGTCTACGAACTACCGACATGGCCCGTACCAAGCAAACCGCCCGCAAATCTACCGGAGGCAAGGCTCCCAGGAAGCAGTTGGCCACCAAAGCCGCCCGCAAGAGCGCACCGGCGACCGGAGGAGTGAAGAAACCCCATCGTTACCGTCCCGGTACCGTGGCTCTCCGTGAAATCCGTCGTTACCAGAAGAGCACCGAGCTGTTGATCCGCAAATTGCCGTTCCAACGTTTGGTCCGCGAGATCGCCCAAGACTTCAAGACCGACTTGCGTTTCCAGAGCTCGGCCGTCATGGCTCTGCAAGAAGCCAGCGAAGCATACTTGGTCGGTCTGTTCGAAGACACCAACTTGTGCGCTATCCACGCCAAGCGCGTTACCATCATGCCCAAGGACATCCAGTTGGCTCGCCGTATTCGCGGAGAACGTGCTTAATCGTCTCAATACTCTACAAATCCTCTTTAAAACGGCCCTTTTCAGGGCCACTACATGCGTTAAAATTATTTCTCTATCGACCTTACAGCGGGCGCCGCGCTGTTGATAAAATTAATACAACAGTTTTGTACTCAATAGTTTTATTATTATCGACGGTCGTGGGTATCCCCCGAGAATGTTGTTACTTACATTTTTAGATTAATGTTGAAAATTCCCAACGACCGTTTTTATTGAAGTATTATTTATATTTAAAAAAAAAAGCGGGTAAAAGAATAGGCGGTAGACACGGCGGTGGCGGTAGACGATGAACGGGTCGGTATAGCGTTAGGCATAGTGTGAAATGTATTTTTGGCGCGCGCGGGAAGTAGTCGGCGGCGGCGGCCGCGTTATAGTCGATATGAGTTTGTTAGGTCGTAGAACGCGGCGTGTAAAGGAATTATTATTTTCTATCCGGTTTGTCCGACGGGAGGGATGGACGCGTTATTAAAAAAAAAAAAAGAAAAAACCCCGTAGATTGTGGCGCGTCGTTTAAAACTATGTTATCTGAAAGTAGGTAGATATGGGCTCCACACGTTTCCGCGGCACTGAATTTAAAATACACGGACAGTGACGATACCAATAGGTTCTACACGTTTGTGAAAACTGAAAACTAAATAATATAATAAATTACTTTATATAATTAATATATAATAATTAAATATAATAAATAATAATATATCACTTGCTAATGTGAAATGGCCATTGTTCGGCTGGTGTTTGTATTTTGTGTAATCGAATAGCCTATAAGTCGACGAAAAAACGACGAGTAAGAATAACATTTTGTGTTCAAAGGCGAACCCTACAAAGTGCCGTTTTTCATCGTCAACGTCCATGCATCGAAGAGAAACGCGACGAGCATAAACAACACTTTGCGTCGGACGTTTATACCTACAAAGTGTGGTTTTTCGTCGCCGTTATTTTCAAACGTAGGCCAACATACGGACGCGTTAAAGTCGTTCAAACCGGCTTCGACGTTAATTCTCCCTCGCCCGTTTTCGGCGCGTTCGCGGCCGGACGCACGCGGCTTCGCCGGGGCTTTCGGTCGGCTGCGCCCGGGGGTACGATATTATGTTTTTTTTTTTTATTTTGAAAAATCACACGCTATTTTACGCTTTCGTTTTGACCGACGACTTTGACGACCGCGGGTACCCGTGATGTGCGTTTTTTTTCCCCGTCTAAATACCGTTTTGAAATCAAAAAGTTTAGCCTACGAATCCTCTTTAAAACGGCCCTTTTCAGGGCCACCACATGCGTTATACTACAATTATTTCTTAGATATCGGGTGGTTATTACTTATTATTGTTTACTAGTGTGACTACATTAACGATGTATTTTATTTACAACAGCCCGCCAGAAGAACGATTGTATACACGATATTATTATGTTTTTTGTGTACGACTGCCGGTGTAATAGTTAAACCGTGTGTCGTTTTAGGTCGCCGACCGCCGCTAGGTGACAAAACACGACGATCATACCGTGTTAATTTATCACCAGATAAGAAGGGTCGTGTGATATAATACGAACAAACGACCGTTATATTTAAATTGTAACACGGAATCCGTTTGAACGGATTCTAGCCGGGGACGATAAACGAATCAGTCGGGTGGCCGTGAAACGGGATAACGGGACGGCGGTTTTTGCCGTGTCAAAACGATTAAGGTGTGTTATTTAATTGTAGATAGTAGACACACGATTAAGCTTTATCTCACGAAACGTTGCCAACCGACGGCGGTCCGAGACATTTCGTACTCGCTATGTAGGAGCCCGAAATTTAGTTAAAAAAAAAAAAAAAAAAAAAAAAGCGAAGGTATACGGTGTGGCACAACGTTATACTGGCGGACGGACGCCTGTACGGATATAGGCGTATGTATAGATATATTATATCGAGTCGTATGGAAAACAGGAAGAGGTACGATGATGACGATAGATATATGTGTATATATTATACTATATTGCGTTGTACGGAAAACGTGAACGGGCTACTGTAGTAAGCTCGTGCTTACTTTTTATTATCAATATGTATGTATTGTGTATATTTGTACGATGACATTGTGACTCACGTTTGGGCTTTTATACTATTTCCTATTATTTACCTTGACTGGCTAGGACCTAACCGAGACAGTATCGGTCGGTCAAGACGCTAAAAATAGGCCTTGAACATTTTCGTTTACACCGAAAGCGAAAAGGCGGTGTGCACAATATTATTATACTAACGGACTGTATAGATATACTATATGATGTAGTATAATATTAAGTCGTATGCAAAATACAAACAGGTAGCTACTACACTGCCGCCGTCCCGGACAACGACGACGATAACGATTACTGGACACGGGGAAGACGCTTATCAGTTATCACGCGAGAACGCGGCGGCCGTGATAACCACTATATCTATACATTATCATTACCGTTATATTATTATTTGTATATAGACATAACGTATAATACTAAATCGGTCGTCACTTTTTCGTTCACGTGGAAAGCGACTCTCGTCGGGCTACTGTAGTAAGCTCTGTAGTTATATACTGGCGGACGGACGCCTGTACGGATATAGGCGTATGTATATATATATTATATCGAGTCGTATGGAAAACAGGAAGAGGTACGATGATGACGATAGATATATGTATATATATTATACTATATCGTGTTGTACGGAAAACGCGAACGGGCTTTTACCGTCTCGCTCGGTTAACATTGAAAGCGAAAAGGCGGTGTGCCAATAATATATACTAACGGACTGCGGTAGATATACTTTATTATGTAGTATAATATTAAGTCGTATGCAAAACACGAACAGGACGACGATGATAACGGTTACTGACACGGGGAAGTCGCTTATCAGTTATCACACGAGGGACGCGGCGGCCGTCGTAACCACTGTATCTAAACATTATTATTTGTATAGATATAACGTATAATACTACTAAATCGGTCAGGATCCCCGCCCGGCACGGTGGTGCAAAACACGATCGATTTGACCGGGGCGAAATTAAATTTTCGCACGGTCAGGTTAAGTTTGGCGTGCACAATATATCATACTGACGGGCGGACGGTATGCCTACACGAGTATTTGGGAACGCATAGTTATATTATATTACGGTGTGTGCAAAACGCGAACGGGCTACTACACAGGCGGCGGCCGTCGTCTCGCTCGGTTTGGCGCGTCCGGCGCTATACGGCGGCCGCGACTACTGATAACGAATACTGATAACGCGGCGGCCGTTTACCGCCGTAACGTTATATCTATACGTTGTCAATATTATTATCGGCCGCGTACGGGTACAGCGTATAATACTATGTAGACAGATATGCGAAACACGACACGACGTTTTTATCGGGACAAAATCGAATTTTACTCTATACCGGTACGGGTCTCGGCGCGGTCCCGACAAAACGGCACGGTAATATCAAAACGAATACTAACGCTATAAAACACGGCCGTCTCTTCCTACCGAAGCCCATTTGTTTACATACTTCTAGTCGATAAGATCGAAACGAATAACGCGGCGGTCCGGCCTAAATAAAAAACGGTCCGTGCCTTTTCATTTATCGCGTGATATTTCGTCAGGACGATCTTTAGTTTTCTAAACGTTCGAACCCGCATTATTCCTAAGTCTTTTTAAAGAAAAATTTTCTATTAGTCAGAAACATTGTTTAGGCGAGCGAAACCGCCGAAGTCAAACGACGACGGGCTCTCCGACAACGCCAGTCGGCCGTTCGAACCGGCTTCGGAGTTAAATTCTCGGTCGGCCGTCCGCCGCCGGTCGGTCAGGTCGGGTCGGGTCTCCCTCGCCCGTTTTCGGCGCGTTCGCGGCCAATATTATGTTTTTTTTTTTGATAAATCCAAAAAAAAAATCACGCACACACGCTGTTTTATAGAACCGGGGCGTGACAAACGACACGAAACCGATGTATTTTCGTGATCGTGTTTATTTCACGGGGGTTTTTTTTTGTTTAGGAAAAGGTATAACGGTCGAGACCGTCGATGAGGTGTTACCGAGTTTTAAAATAGCGAATTGCGACTCGTCTCGCCCCCGACCGACGGGTAAATTTATATGAAATCCGGTTTCGCGTTTGAATTTTACAATTGTACGAATTACAAGGTCGTCGTGAAGGTCACGAGTCGTTGTAGAAAAAAAACGCCTCCACCGAGTTCTCTTCCCCCCCCCCTCCGTGTTCGCTTTTGCCGCCACGCGCGACTTTTCCGTTTGTTTTCTAATCGAAAATATTAACCTAACCTTACCGTCGTCGGCCGCCGCGGCACCGTTCGTGTGTGTATGTATTTCGTTTGTCTTTACCGCGCCCGCCGGCCGACGTCGTCGTCGTTTTGTGTCGCGGGAACCCCTCCCCCGTCCGCACGCGACCAGTCGGAGGCGCGGGGGGCGGGGGTTAATTTTTTTATGTACCGCCCTCGTGACGGTTTGTCAGTTTTACGTTTTACAAAGTGTAAATAAAATATTAAAACGTTATTAAAGTCTCGATTTTATTTTAAATCCATCTTCCTCGCGTCGATTCCGGCTCCTGAACGACAAATAAATTACTCGATAGCCCGGTGACCGGATCGTAACGAGATGTGTTATATTACGGCGTGTGCAAACCGTGAACGGGTTACTACGGGAGGCGTCCAGCGCTATACGGCGGCCGCGACTACTGATAACGCGGCGGCCGTTTACCGCCGTAACGTCATATCTATACATTGTTAAATATTATTATCGGTCGTGTATAGGTATAACGTATAATACTGTGTAGACGGGTCGTCACATAGATAGGTGTGCACGATATCATGTAGTGTGTTAAATCGTATGCAAAACACGAGCGGGTAGCTACTATACTGCCGCCGTCCGTTATCACGCGGCGGCCGTCCACCGCCGTAATGTCACATTATTATTATTATCGTCGTTATCGTCAGTCGTGTATAGATATAACGCGTATTACTAAATAACCGGTACGGTGTGCACAACGTATTATTATACCGACGGACGGGCGGTAGTATATATAATAGATATATTAAGTCGAGTCGTATGCAAACGCGAACGGCGGCAAACGGTTTAACCCGTCCGGTGCTATACGGGGACACTGAT